TGTGTGTTTCTGTGACATGCTCGTGTTTGAAACAGTTGTTTAAAATATATTAGTAATAATTATATATATATAGCCTATATATATAGCCTATATACTGTGTATATATATATATATATATATATATATATAGTGCCGGGTAGTAACTGCTTGCATGTAATCTGGATTGTGTAATCAGATTCCAAAAATTAAGTAGGCCTACTTGTAATTAGATTATATTGCATTTTAAAATACTTGCAATCATAACTCTTAATACTAATATTTATTTTTCACATTATTTTTTTTAATTTTTATAATTTAATTACTTAATGGCCCAGTTTCACAGACAGGGTTTAGATTAAGCCAGGATTAGGCCTTTAGTTCTATCAGGACATTTAAGTAGCTTTTATAAACGCGCCTTATAGAAAAAAAAACATTACTGGTGTGCATCTTGAGACAAAATGCATGTTTGAGCTGTATAAACTGAAAGCAGCTTGCACTGATATCTTAAAATATGTCAGTGCAAGTTGCTTTCAGTTTATACAGCTCAAACATGCATTTTAGTCTGGGACTAGCTTAAACCTTGTCTTTGAAACCAGGAGGAACAGATTTTCATTAATCTCACGAACCCCAGTCTGGGAAACCCTGATGTAATGTAATATGCAATGCACTTCATATTGTTGATTACAAAGAATGGAAAATATTTTCTATCTCTTTATATTAATATGGTACAAGATCCTTCTATTCAAATCAATGTGATTAACGAGTTAGGTAAAAAGTAATCCAAATGTAGTGAGATTATATTACCATAAAGGGTTAGTTTACCCAAAAATGAAAAAAATTGTCATCAGTTACTCACCACCCTCATGTCATTTTAAACCCGTAAGACTTTCGTTCATCTTTAAAATGACGATATTTTAAATATAATTTGAGAGATTTTTGTCCTTCCAAGTTCATAAAGAGATTGTAAAACTAATCCATATGAATAGAGTGGTTTTGTCCGAATTTTCTGAAGAGACACGATCGCTTTATAAGATTTAAATTTTCCTTTTATTCACATATAAACATTGATCAGCGAACATTATCAGAAGCTCAACTGAACCTGCTTGACACACAAGAATGAACCTCATTGGTTCTCGCACGTCAAGAAAGCATGCTTAAGTTTCCGTTTACCATATCTGATGTGTGCGGTGATGAATGTTTATATGTGAATAAAAGCCTAAATTATAGTCAAGTCAAGTCACCTTCATTTATATAGCGCTTTTAAAATATAGATTGTTTCAAAGCAGCTTTACAGTGATAATAGGAAATTAAAGTAACAGAGATTGTTTTGGCTTTACAGCAGCTCTAGACTAAAGTTATTGTCCAGCTAAAGTTAGTTTTGATTGATTCACTTCCGTCGCAACGATCATTAGTTATTAACTTAGGGGCCGCTTACACTACACCGTTATAACACGTTATAACCCTTAATGTAATCCGGCCGCTCATTTGCACAAAACAGTGCCTGGTGGCTCGAGAACGCAAACCATGAAATAGGTTCCAAGGTACAAGAAAAATTGAAAAACGTATAATAAAGAATTTTTTATCGCTTCCGCGTAGCCACGTGAACCGGAATTATTCTGACAACGTTTTATCTGTACAGAGGTAAAGGGAAGGGAAGGAGGCCTTCACAGGGGAGAGACCAGTTGACACTTCAGGACTGCATTGTCGTCGTGTCCAGGTGCAGGTCCTTCATCAGATCCGGATACGGCCTGGATCCGGCGGACTGCGGTAAACCTCGGGATAAACAGAGAGACTAATATTAGCGTAGACGCCATCCTTCTTATGATGTAACAAGTACATCAGGATTTGTGTGGAGTGTTCCCGGTTGACCTAATCTATGCAGCCTAACATTGAATTATAGAAGTCTAGAATGAATGCGTATGCTAGGTCAAAGAGATGTGTTTTTAGTATAGATTTGAACTGAGTGTGTGTGCTTCTCGGACAATGTTAGGAAGACTGTTCCAAAGTTTTGGTGCTAAATAGGAAAAGGATCTACCACCAGCAGTCGATTTTGATATTCTAGGTATTATCAGTGGGCTAAATTTTGAGATCGCAATAGACGTGAAGGACTATAATGCGTTAAGAGCTCGCTCAAGTACTGGGGAGCTAAACCATTTAGTGCTTTGTAAGTAATCAGCAATATTTTTAAATTCATAAGATGTTTAATAGGGAGCCAATGCAGTGTTGACAGAACCGGGCTAATATGTTCATACTTCCTGGTTCTGGTAAGAACTCGAGCTGCTGCGTTTTGGACCAGTAGTTTGTTTATTAAGCGTGCAGGGCAACCACCCATAATAGCATTACAATAATCTAGCCTTGATGTCAAGGACGGATGAAATAACTGTTCCGCATTTGTCATTGAAAGCATATGTTGTAATTTAGGTATATTTTTAAGATGGAAAAATGCGGTTTTACAGATACTAGATACGTGAATTTACACCCAGGTTCCTAACCAACGACGAAGACTTGACAGAGCAGCCATCAAGTGTTAGACAGTATTCTAGGTTATTATGTGAGGAAGTTTTTTTTCCAATAATTAGAATCTCTGTTTTTTCAGAATTAAGTAGTAGGAAATTACTAGTCATCCAGTTTTTTTTTTTATATCAGCTATGCATTCCGTTAATTTTGCGAATTGGTAAGTTTCGCCAGGGCGTGAAGTAATATAGAGCTGAGTATCATCAGCATAACAGTGAAAACGGTTGCTTCCTAATTATATCTAAGGCATGTATAGAGTGAACAGCAAGAGTCCTAGTACTGAGCCTTGTGGTACGCCATACTGAACTTTTGATCGATAAGACATCTCTTAAAAACTACTACAAACTGATAACGGTCAGATAAGTATGATTTAAACCATGCTAATGCAATTCCACTAATGCCAACATAATTTTAGAGTCTATTTAAAAGAATATTGTGGTGGATGGTATCAAATGCAGCGCTAAGATCGAGTAACACTAGAGAGATACAACCACGATCGGATGATAAGAGCAAATCATTTGTGACTCTGATGAGAGCTGTCTCAGTACTATGGTACGGTCTAAATCCTGACTGAAAATCCTTGCAGATACCATTTCTTTTAAAAAAGGAACATAGTTGTGAGGATACTGCCTTTTCTACTATCTTTGACAGAAAAGGTAGATTCGAGATTCGATTGACTAATTCTGTAGGATCAAGTTGCGTTTTTTTAACAAGCGGTTTAATCGTAGCCAGCTTAAAAGTTTTTGGTACGTATCCTAATGACAAAGATTAATTAATGATATTAAGAAAAGGATCTATGACCTCTGGAAGCATCTCAGTCGGTATAGGGTCTAACATACATGTTGTCGAAAATTCTTCCTCTCCTATAGCAATGATAGCCTATGCCTATGTTCGTCATAAAAAGTGATTGTGTCTCTTCAGAAAATTTGGACAAAAGCAGCCAATTCATATGGATTAGTTTTACGATCTCTTTATGAACTTTTTGAAGCGACAAAGTAGAAGTTGCATGGACTGTCAATGGAGGGACAGAAATCTCTCAGATTTCATTAAAATATCTTTATTTGTGTTTCGAAGATGAACGAAAGTTTTACGGGTTTAGAACAACATGAGGGTGAGTAAATGATTAAAGAATTTTCATTTTTGGGTGAACGATTCCTTTAAATGTACTGGATGTTACAAACTTTATGTAATATAATTTGGAATTAGTAACCAACTATAATTTGTAAGTGTACCCAGCACACACACAGTTTACATATAAAAAAATCAATACTTTTATTGCAGCTATGCATTGAATTGATCAAAAGTGGCGGTGAAGATATTTATGTTACAAAAGATTTCTATTTTAAATAAATGCTGTTCTATTGAATTTTCTATTTATCAAAGAATCCTAAGAAATGTATCACAGTTTCCACAAAAATAGTAAGCAGCACAACCGTTTTCAACATTGATTACAATAAAAAATGTTTCTTGACAAATCAGCATAGAATGATTTCTGAAGGATCATGACACTGAAGAATGGAGTAATGGCTGCTGAAAATTCAGATTCAGAATTGAGAAAATGTGAGTTTTAATATGTACGTTAAGTGTCCAAATGTTTTGGAGACACTGTACAGAGCTTACTGTAAATGTGTGTGCACGTCCATGTATACAAGTAGGTGGGTTTAGGTTTGTTTGCCAGATAGAATCAATAAACAGCTCGAACAAAACGCTCATCAAAATTGCTTTGGGCACATTGAATGTTGACCTCAATATTCCTCAGTCTAATTGGTGATATTGAAGATACGTCTATGGCCAATCCCAGGCTGTGAAGCAGCCCAAAGGCACTTGCATATTTCATTAGTGGTATTGTAATGGTCTTTGGCTGAAACACATGGCCTCTGGAGCCTCTTTAGTTGCAGTAGCCTTCAGCATCATCAGAGCAGAACACCAAATTCTGATCTAATAACAGCCCTCCGATTGCACATCTGCTACAAACCACGTTTCTCTTTCAGCTAAACTGATTGTTTTATTAGTATTCTTGTGTAGTCTGTGAGCTTTGTGGTAGTGCTTAATAGAAACAACAGATGTGAAATAAAACAATGTACCTCACACTATAACAGTTAATACAATGCAGCTGTATGTTAAATAAAGAAAAAACACACCAAAGGCGTGCTATAATGATGCACTGCTAACCTAACAACAGCCAGAAGTCAAATGGCTTTATGTGTGTGTTATCCAGAGTTGAGGTAGTAATGTTAATTTATTTGAATGAATTTGACTTGAGAGATAAGAGGCCAGGGTGACTCAATGTGAGCCTGTGTGAAACAGCCAGGAGCAGATGGTCAGGCTGATGGAGAGGGAAGAGAGAGTCCAGGCTCCTCTAGTTAATGTTTTACCAGTTACCTATTAGTGCAGATTACCCATTACGCACATCAAACTCTCCACTGACTTCTAGATTTCCATAGCAATCATATGCTTCCACAGTTACCAGGCTATAGCGTACGTGTGATAACTCAACATACAAACACTGAAGGGTTAAGAAGTATTTTATTTTGCCATTACATCACTGCAGCATGTGTGAGAAGAAGTTTACTCATTTAAAAACCAGCACAGAAGAGAGGAAGTGGAGAGCTCGACAAACATTGTGTTGGATAACAGGTGATATTGTAAATCATGGTCATTTCAGAAGGCAGGTGATCAATTGTAGCTCACTCATTTTTCTATGGATCTCTCACATTTATGAGGTTTGGGTTCTTATTTTCCATTCCAAAAATAGAGCATAGCAGTTATTCATGTTTCTAATCCCATAAAATGTCACAGGAGTTTGGCAACTGAAGAAGTTCTGCACTTGCTTAACGCGAGCCGAACGAACAAAACTGAATCCATATGTATTGTGCGTGTGGCTCAACGTAGAGCAAGTGCAGTTTTATCCATCGAAGTTCTGGAGGCACACTGTGATAAACTCCAAACTACTGTCAAAAACTTTGAATCCAATAGATTTCATTTTTCAGGTGTTCCCTGCCATTTACCTGCGAGTAAGAAAAGTAAAATCAGTATCAGTTTAAGTAAATGGGATATTATAGCATTACAGTATATTCTTGGATCTATTGTTACAATAATGTTTTTGTTTCAATCAATGTATCTTTCCTGACAAGTTTTAATTTGATTTCTTAACAGTAATTACATTCAAACTGGTTGAAACTGCAAATGATTTTCCACTGCATGATGTAATTTTGGCAGTAGCCTACTTTCAATACTTCATTAAAAGTTTTCAGTTTTTTTTCTCACAATGCATGTTTTCTTCCACTAACTTACAAAATTAAAAAAAGGTTATTTTAATAGATGTTGATATTGTAGGCTAGTTTGTGCGTATTGATATCAAATTCCAATTAATTTGTAAAATAGGCTATATTCTGCACAATGCAAATAGTTTAATACAATAAAAAAATGCATGTTCCGTAATGCATTTATGTATGGTCTGAGAAAACCCCGATAAGTTTTTTGTTTGTTTAGTTGGTTTTACCTGTCTGCCTCACGCCTGTAGTTTCATATCCAGGTTGCTCTGATGGAGGGCCTCGGTCGACATGCTCATTCCGTACCTGCGGGTCCTGTGAATCAGCCTGGCCAGTGTCGGGTTTTTATAGTCGACAAAAATCATGCCCCCTCTGCTTTCCCCGCAGCTGTAAAGGTGCTGATCTCTCCACGCACCTGTCGCACTTTACACAGGTCTAATGTTGACCGAGGGGCGGGGTGTGATGATGATGGTCCTGCTGAAGTGTGGTTTGGGCCTCCAAGGCTTTAGATGCAAATGTCCTTTTACTTCTACGATCTAAGATCTGATAAACGGATATTCTATATCCGTGATCGTAAGCGGTACACGTTTTGAATCATTCAGTCGCTGAATCAAGATGACAAGGAAGGGCTTGCTCTGTTTCACGTAGGGCGGGTATAATTTGCACAAAATTTACATGACACTTGCAAATGTCTCTTTTTTCCGGATTTAGATCAGACGCTGAAAAAGATAGTTACCCGATGGACGTCTACCAGCCTACTTCTTTTTGTAGGTTAGCTAATGTGTTGTATGTCCAGAATAAATCTAGCAGCAATGAAAGATCAGGTTTCACTTCTGAGTAGAATATATAACATCACATATGAGTTATCGTCCATTAGGCCTATCACATAAACAATTGAAGTTTACCTCAGGTTAAATACGTAACTCTTCTAAATTAGATTATGTGTAGGCTAACATTCAAAACCTACTTATGTTCTCGCTTCAAAAATGATTGTTTCTGCTCGGTGCTTGTTGCAAGAATATGGCGCCATAATGTGGTGAATGATAGAAACGACATGTGTTTCTGTATGTCCATGTGACACCTGTTTAAATAAAATGAAAACGTTGTGTAATTTTAAGAAACACCATTGTATAGCCTAAAAGAACATTGTTTGTTGGATGTCCATTAAGGCCTACTGATATACACTGCCGTTCAAAAGTTTGGGATCAGTAAGATTTTTTAATGTTGCATGTTGCAATAAATGCAAAGCCTGCATTTATTTGATCAAAAATACAGTACAAACTGTAATATTGTGAAATATTATTCACAATATTACAGCTGTGTCATTTTTTTCAGGATTATTTGATTCAAAGTCCAAAAGAACAGCATTTATCTGAAATAGATTTTTTTATTAACATTATAGTCTATACATTTCTTTACTGTCACTTTTGATAAATTGAATGCATCATTGCAATTTAATGCATAATAAAAGTATAAATTACTTTTTAAAAAATCTTACTGACCCCAAACTTTTGAACGGTATATATATAGTGTATAATGTTTCAAAAGTTTGGAAACATTACTATTTTTAATGTTTTTGAAAGAAGTCTCTATGCTCAAGTCTGCGTTTATTTGGTCAAAAATACAGGGGGGGGGGGAAATCAGTAATATTGTGACATATTATTACAAATTAAAATAAAGGTTTTCTATTTTAATATAGCCTACTTAAAAATGTCATTTATTTCTGTGATAAAAGGCTGAATGTTCAGCATCATAACTCCAGTCTTCAGTGTCATACGATCCTTCAGAAATCATCCTAATATGCTGATTTATTATCAATGTTAACTGTAACTGTTAAAGTGATAGTTCCCGCAAAATGAAAATCCTGTCACAATTTACTCACCCTGAGGTTTGTTTCAAACCAGTCACCATTCACTTTCATGGCATTTTTTTTTTTTCGTATAGTGAAAGTGAATATAGGCTGCCATGCCATAAAGCCTAACATCTTCGTTTGTGTTCTATTTTTGGGTGAACAAATCCATTCTGCAGCCCCCCTGCGTCTCTTTCATAGACTGTAAAAAAAAAAAAAATAGGTCTCTTTGCCTCACTTACTATAAGCCTTTTCTCCAGCAGGTGGCAGCAGTGGTGTTGCACTTTCTCCGTCAAGTTGCTCACGTCATTATTTTCCTTCGTCTGTTGGAATGTTGGACTGCAGTATTATGTGAGAATAACAACGACATATAATGATATTTACGGTAAATAGCCCATTCAATGACATGTATTTGATAATGTCCGATGAATGAATACGCGTTCTTAGATTTTGAATCCACTCATTTGTGCCAGTACAGTAGGCTAAATTAAATGTTCCAATCTGTAATGTAAAAGTATCGTTTGTAGTTGTTTTGTATTTATACTCTTACAGTCGATACAGTTCATTACAGAAAAAAAAATGTTTGTTAGATGAGGACAACTGCACGTTTTATTTACAGACACTGATTAAATACTGTTTTTTTTATCAGATTTGCCCAGATACGTAAGAGTAGCTTTAGAGTTTCCCATTAATCGAAATGAATCCCAGGGATTTGCGTGCGTCTGTGTTCATTCAAATTCACGATCCTCCACTAGTAGCACTCTCGTGCCCTACATCTTCCCCTGACCCCGCCTGCTCGGGCCAATACGGTCCGCCCCAGACTGAGTAGGTAACAGCAGTATTTATGTGTTTCGGCATCTTCCTCATCAGTGACTGTCATCCCACTGAAGTCACTCCACAGCATACTATAAAATATTGTGCTTTATCTGACTTAGGGTTCACAGATGTAAGGAAATAATCAGTGCGTGGACTAATTGGCAGCACCCACGACCAACGAGAAGCCGACAGGGAGTCGAGGGAACATCTCCGGAGCGGTTTGTCAAGACAAACAAGTGCTTTATATTCCCGAGCGAGCTCAAGTGTGCAGGGCTTGATCGATAGGACTGGAATGTGGCTGTTTCGGCGGAGATTAGACTGTCGGACGAGCGAAGCCAAAGCACGGGACCGGGATCTGGGAGAAGCAGGATGCTGAACCGCGATCAGGGTGAGTGCATATGGCCACGTCTGGACGCTTTTGTTCATAATAACATGAGAATGCTAAACGCGGGTTTGGTTTTAGCATTCAGGCAAGGTCGTCCATGCAACAGACTCGCGTGTCACTGTAAATGTCTGTACATCAGTAGCATGGGGGGATTTGCTTGCGTGTTATGAATGCGATCATATCAAGAAAATGATGTCGTGGCCTACTTCGCTCGAGATGTCTCATCTGCTCCCAGTCCAAATGAGTGTGTGCATGAGATTTACAAGATATGACACTCTTAGTGTCTTACGCTTATAATTCTCTATACATGTGTGTTGTTCATATCTGCGGGTAAAGTGATTATGACTTCTGTTAACATGCAGCAGAAGGGCATTGACGTGCCAGACGCGACAGGACTTGACACACAAACAGACAAACTTGAATGCGACAGCCTCATGAACTTCGACTTGCTTTTTGTTATGTGTTGACTTGTATGTTATGTGTGTGTTATAGTTTAATTTATATTATTTTAGTTTCGAAGTACAATACGAGTTTACTAAACAATTGTACAATGACAATGTACATAATGGAATTGGGAGATATCATGTCAAACTATTTCAGTGATTTCTTGGAGAACTGCACTGTTTTTATTGAAGGCATACTCCACCCAAAAATGACAATTCTGTCATCATTTACTTACCCTCATGCAGTCCCAGTTGCAGCCTATATGACTTCCTTTATTCTGCGGAATACAAATGGAGATTTTTCGGAAAAATTATCCATAATGCAAGTCCTTCAAAGTTGACGCTTCAAAAACCAAGCGAAATGGAACACGACTAATCCATATGACCCCAGTTGATTAATCATTGTCTTATGCAAAATTACAGGCGTGTGAGGAAAAATACTAATATTTTACTAATAATATACAAACTTTTGGCCAACTGTCAACGCGCTGTGAACGTCAGCACTTGTGCAACTCGTGCGAGAAGTGATTCGGAAGCACAGAGGACCGTCACTTCTCGTGCGAGTTTCACATCGTCAACTTTGTGGGACCTATCTGTATAATATGACCTTACAGAGATGGATTATTTTTGTAAAAATCTCCATTTTTGTTACACAGAAGAAATTCATACTCGTATACAACCAGGGTGGCATGAGGGTGATGTTTGGATAGAGTATCCCTCCAAGAACCGGAACCATTTTTTTTTAAATTCCGGAATTGCTTTATTACAATTTTCATGACGATTGGTTTGTTTCCTGCCTTACTAATACATGTTACTACAACACCACAACTAGAGAATATAACAGCTACAGTGCAAACAAATTGTGTGAACAGTGACCCAAACTCATTCTTCTTAGTTCTTTTTAGTAAAGCAAAAACAAGAGCACGAGCAGTGTAGTCCGATTCGAGATCGAATGACTGTGAGAACCAGTATCATTCAATTATTTTGAATGACTTTCTTTGATGTAATTTTTTACAAACAGTGCTTTTATTAAGGAAGAGCCAGTGATCTAGATCAGTGTCATGTACTGTACAAGTAATTTGGCTTCTCACATAACCTCTTCTGTGATCTTCGTTATGTCACCGCTATCATATCAAGATATGTCATGTTTACAGTTTGTTTGCTTCATCTTACCACCATGTTCTCTTTAGGTTCTTGGTTAGGTCTAACTCTGATCCCATCAGAGTTCCCACACATTGTGGACTTTGTTTGTGCATGCTATGAAAAATGCACGTACCGTACCAAATCTTTTTCATTGACAGCACATACACACTGGCATCTGTCTTTTTAACCCTGTGTTGTGCTGTGAATGGCCCCTTACAGACTTACTCCCTTGCAGATTGCTTTAAGGAGTTGGTGACTGTCAGCATGTGCACTGCCAGTTTTATTTGTGTGATGTTGTCACTTGGCCTTTAGCCTTTGCGGACGTTCCCTAGGAACATTTGGTATTGGCACATGTCACCCATCGATTGCAGTGGTACAGTAGAGCAGCAGTGGCACAGCACAAATGATGCCCCCAGGGCAGTCCCCATCATTTGTCCTGCATGTCAGCACACATCGAATCAAAGTTAATTCATCATGGCTGGAGACCTATTCCTGTAAAATCTGTCACATTTAGCAGAGCTATCATGTGACACCAACATATTTGAGCAGTTTTGATGGGAGTTTGTGATACATTAGCAGTTAGGTTACATTAGCAACTGGTATATTAGATTTTGCCTTGGTCTGCTGCTGTCAGGTGTTAGTATAATTAATGTTAATACATTTTTAATTTGTATTGATTTGGCTTGTCAATATGGACACCAGATTAGGGATCACACTTAAGTGAGGTAGCATCAATACACACGTGTCATTTCAATCACTGCAGTGGAGTTTTAAGTCACGGTCACATTTACTTTTTTTTTTTTTTTTTTTTGTCACATTTACTGTTGTTTGGTGAATCTTTGTCAGTCATTGAATCCACACAACTGTGAATTTCGAGGGATGGCCAGGCCCACACACATTTCTCAATGGATTAAAATTAACCACGCAGTGTTGATTGGTCATTTGCTGGGTTGATGAACAAAAAGCTGCATGGTTTGAAAGTCACTTTTGTGTGAGCTGTGCTTCTTAGATCGTTACACTATTGACACCAACCACTAGTTTTTTATGCATTTAACCAAAACACATGTTGCCCATATAACGGATGTTTGGACCGTCCTAATTTGATGCATATTGTTAATGTAAACTGCAGATATTGATGTGGTTTAGCTCTTTTTACGCCGGCTCAACTTCCATGAACACAGAAACAGAGCAAGATTTTCCCCCGGATGCACTGTATGATGAACAGACCATTCATTGTCCTTCAGGCCTCTAGCTGTTTGGTCAAATCTTTCGTCTTTCGTCCTCACTTGTGTGTGCCACATGGGGATCCTTTTGTTCATGTCCAAATCACCAAAAGACTTGCATTCTTTTGATGGCCACCAACTCTGACAGATATATGACTCTCAGACCTTCTTATGATGGGATTTTTGTATTATTTCAAGTTAAATGGGAGCATAAAAAGTCAGTGCAGAGGAAAAACAAACTCGTTGCTTTGTTTTGAGAAGTCCCGATCAGTCTGTAGTTTAACCCCATGTTATGTTACAGTTACAGGATTGGTTGCAGAACAGATTATGTGGTAATTTCTGCTTGTTAGTGTAATGGGTGTTGGAGGATATACAGGGTAATAAATAATGATCAAACATTTTGAGTGTAATGGTGTGTGCAGTTAAGTCACAGGTGGTTAGGTGGAGGCATTCCTTAAACCTTGAACGAACACAATAGAAGTGACCTGGAAAGATTGAGAGGTGCTATAGGGTTGCCGCTAAAGAAAATACAAAGGCGTACAGAGAGGGTGGAGGCCTGAGGTCATAATACTATTAATCCACTCAACACAAGCCACATGTACTGCAGATTCTTATTAAATTCCAGCATGCACAAGCATTTCATCATTGTGCTATGAAAACAGTTACTGTTATTGAATGGGACATTTCTGGAACTAGTCTGTGCATTCGAATTAGTCGTTCATGAAATTACTATATAGACATGGGTAGATGGCATGTTTCATTTGATGCGAATAAAGGCAAGGGTTTATGGGACATAAGTACAATCAGCTCCAAAAGTTATTGTTGAGAACCTTACAACAGGACAATGGAAATTGAGTGGCCTTAAAAATTAAAATTCTATCATAATTTATGCACTCTAACCATCATTTATTCCAAAACTGTATGTTTTGTTTCTTATTTGCCTCTGTTATTAGTTGGCATGCAATAAAGTGATACAGAATAATGTATTTCGGTCTGATTCAGAATTAACGAAACCTTAAATAAACTGAGTCCGCCAGGGATCTGATGTCCATGTGTATATTAGACTAGTAGCCCCATCTAAGGCCTGTCATTACTGCTCAAGTTTGTTTACTAGAAAGCTCTTCCCTAGCTGGCTGTGATATTCAGTGGTCTGAGCAATGCCATAACTTATTTGTGTTGAGTTATAGTAGAATAGCCATGAAATCTTTTGTTTAGCTCTCTGTCAGAGTCAAGCAAGAATTGTAGTGAAATGTGGTAGTCTGAGGAAAGACTGTTTCTTTCTTTTTTCTCTCCTTTTTTTCCGTGTCGGGTATATTTCCTGTGCGTTGAATCTGTAACCTCACCCCGTTCGCCTGGAATGATCCGGTTTAATTTTTTTAGTATTGTCCCTGGACATTCATTTGATGACCAGATATAAATTTAACAGAATATCCATCATTGTCACTTGGGGACAAAGTAATCACCATACTGGAACTAGACACATTTCTGTGCCTTGATAACCATGCATCGGCATAAAGAAGACACAGATTTATTAACGGCACTTTTACTTGTTGTTGTTGTTATTATGAACATCTTTTCAGGTGATTCCTGTAAGCGTTTGTTGCACATGAGCCTCTGTTGTTTTACATTGACGTGACCTCACTGTATTTGGTCTCATGTGACCAGCCCTGTGGGTACGATTACAGGTCTGACACCGGAGGAACCTCTAAAATTCAATCCAGAAGGTTTCTAGAATAACAGATTGTTTCCATTACAAATAGTAGTTTGATGAATGATTAGAGTGATGATAGATCCTGTGAAAGAAAATTATTTACATCTGTTGTTAGTGCTTTGAAGTTGATTTTGTTGTTTTTATGCAATGTGTTTCCTGTAGACTGAGCCATGAGGTGCAGAGAGTATGACCTTACTGGAGCCTTGTCGTTCTGGGAGGCTCAGAGTTTGGCTGTTTGAAACTGTAGCACATGAGCTTTATTTCCTTGTCATTCAGAGAAAAAAAAATGATTGTTATTAAAATACGTTCTTGTCCACACTCATGCATTTTAGGGCACGTTTACACGACAACAATGTACTAAAATCGAAAAAGTTTTTCGCATACAGACCACAACGTTGTCAAAACGATCCCCGTTCACACGAATCCGCAAAAATTACTAAAAATGCTGTATTATGCTTCAAGGCCAGTAGTTGGCGACATCAC